GCACCAACCGAGTTATCTATACTTACACAGAAACCTATTTAAACCACCAAATAAAATAAATTATTATAACTTCATAATCCACAGAAGAGTTGATGAGCTATTCTTAGCCAGTATGGACTGTTCAATAATAATTAATAGTTGGATCCTAAATGGGATTGGAGATGAGGCTTTAAATGATAAATTACACTTTCACACCTGCGATATAATACCACGAACTGGTACAGACCCATATTAATGTCAGTGACGGCTTTGTCATCTATATCTGTGGCTTTGTAGGTATTGCATTGTAAAGATGGAATATCAACGTTATTTAATGACTGGTTCGTCCGTTTTTTGTTTGAAAGATATACAATACATACGATCTTTTAATCTATTGATTATGTTTTAAGTATATTTGATTTGAAGCATGTGCAGAACGTGTCACAGAATCAGAGACATTTCTGAATTAAAATTTATTTCCTTTTTTTTTCTTTTTTTTTTTAAAAAAACGTTGCCCCACACTAGGATTTTCTCCTGTGTTGTGGGTGCGTTTACAAACATACAAGTTCACATACACAATATGACACCCAGACCCGAAACAACAATTTGTGGATCACACAAAGTGTTGTTCCGTGCGGGAATCGAACCCGCGACACGTTGCACGGCAGCCGGTTGCCCAGCCACCGCACCAACCGTGCAGTCAAGTCCTATTGTGGAGCTGATCAAAGGTGGTTGATGTTGTTTAGAATAGTTGGGAATTATACCTACATGACAAAGAAATAATTCGGCTGGCACCTACACTTAGTTGCGACTACAATGCGATATTACCCATAACGACAACTTTATTGAATACCAAGTTCCAGAGGATTCAAAATACTATTTTCCCTAAACTCTTAAAAAAGGTAATCAGCTCATTTTTCTGACAGACATAATTACAATGAACACTGAGTAGGATTCCCAGAAGTTAAGCTTGAAACAGCGACCTAACCGAGATTTACTAAATTAGCAGGTATTTGGTAACAAAATTCTCATAAGTCTTGCTTTGTGTCTATTGACGGGTCTTGGAAATAATCTAAAATAAACTCTTTTAAACGAAAAATGTGGTGCACCTACGCAACCTTATTATATGAAGAAATAAGTTTGATATTGGCGTGATACCTATTGTGTTACTTATATAGGTGTAAAAGTATCGGAGGTAGGCGTTTCCCATTGGACAGAAACTGACAATAAAAGAAAATACTAAAATAATACTGTTGAGTAAAACGAAAGTGGTATGTAAGAATCGTAGTAATTTCCATAGTCTCTGCCTTCCTATGAGTGACAGGCGATTATATGTATAAAAATGACACATCAAATATCCTTAATATCATGCAATACGTAGATAATATTTAAAACTATTTAGAATCGTCCCAATTTTATTTATTTATTTATTTATTTATTTTATTTACATCGGAAAACATACAGTATTAACAGCCAACTAAAACACAATTTACGCAACTATTAACCAATTACATGTTTTCGCATTTAGTTATCTATGAAGAACACGCTTGAAAGAGAAAAAATGACTAAAGAGGTAATTAGGAATTATGGTAAATACAATAATATTAATTCTTGCAGTGCGAAATGGAACAGTTATCGAACCAATGTTTTGTAAGTAATCGATTGAATACATGAGGCTTAGTAACGAATAAGTCCAGTTTAGAAAAGTCGACCAGATTATTGTAGGACTTTGCGCATCTAATGAAGAATGAGTTCTGTTTGTAATTAGTGTGACAACGGGGAACGTTTAGAAGAAGGAAGGGTGTTCTAGGAGATCTAGTGGGAGCGCGTAAATTAATCTTGGACAGAAGTTCCGGGGCGTCGATATAAGATTGTGCCAACTTGACGAGGAAAGAGATATCTGATATATTCCTCCTTTCCTTAAGTGGTAGTAAGTGGTACCTTTTGCATCTCAAATCATAATCATGGTCGTGGGTTTTACACTTATATTGCAGGTATCGCGTAAAGTTTCGTTGAATAGATTCCAGTCTTGAGATATAGATGTCATACATGGGATTCCAAACCTGTGAACAGTACTCAAGTGAGCTACGGACAAAAGAACAGTATAAGATTTTAATTATTTTGATATCTGTAAACTGGGAACAAGACCTTTTTAAGAACCCCATGGCTTTGTTAGCTTTATTTACTATGTAATCTACGTGCCTCTCATAGGTAAGTTTGGAATCATGTATCACACCTAAATCTCGTATGTAATCTACTCGTTTCAGCTGGTCATTCTTTAAAATATATGTATGGGATATGATGTTGGCTTTGCGAGTGAATGTAATTGCGTAACATTTTGACACATTGAGTTCCAGATTATTTAACTGACAATACTCTTCAAGCCTATCGAGATCATGTTGCAAACAGTAGCAGTCTCCGAGATTGTTTATGCGTTTAAAGATCTTCATATCGTCTGCGTAAAGTAGGAATAACGAATTTTGAAAGCACGTGTGAATATCATTTATGAAGATATTAAATAGTAAGGGCCCAAGAAGCGATCCCTGGGGCACTCCTGAAGGGACTACATACCGCTTAGACACAACACCATTAACCACAACAGCCTGGGAACGATTCCTTATATAAGATGTTATCCACCGGTATAAATTACCATGAATACCTGCATGAAAAATTTTTTGCAAAAGGATAGTATGGTCAATACGGTCAAAACATTTACTATAGTCAGTAAAAATACAATCTACCTGCCCTCCCTCGTCCATACTCGTTGTAGTGAAGTCGATAAAGGTCAGCAGGTTGGTAGTGGTCGAACGATTTTTAAGAAAGCCGTGTTGTTGGGGAATAAATGTTGAAGAAAAAGTGCTGTAAACTTGCGTGTAGATAATGCGTTCAAGTATTTTACCAAACAGGCATAATTTAGATATGGGTCTGTAATTATTGATGCCACTCTTATTCCCACTTTTGTGTACAGGTGTTATGTACGCGTACTTCCATATACTGGGGACAATTCCTTCAGTAACAGAACGCTTGAAAATAATCGTTAGAGGCTTAACTAATCCTTTGGCACACTTGACAATAAATAGTGGCGGTATGTTATCGGGACCCGCACCTTTAGTGAGATCCAAAGATTCTAAAAGCCTAAGCAGGTGGTTTGAATTTATTTCAATCTCGCCTATGTTTAATGCAGAGTCAGTGGGAACATTAAAAGAATTTGGGGTAGGCGAGTTTCGGTCAGAAGTGGAGAGGAAATTGGACTGGAAGTACTCTGCGAAAGCATCACTGATTTCATCATTTGTGCTATAGCAACGACCATTAAATGACACACTGGCCGGGAGAGTGTTAGTGCCCTTTTTGTTCGCTTTTATGAAGGACCAAAACATTTTTGGATTTTTTATGATAGATGCTTCAGTTCTGGTAATGTATGATTTATAACACTCTTCCTCAATTGCTTTGGCTCTGGCGCGAAGTAGTATATATGAATCGTAATCGGACGCGTTGCCGTAAGTGCGGTATTTACGAAGGTATTTATATTTTTCTTTAAGAATTTTTTTTAAACTTGCGTTATACCATGGTGGGTAGTTTGAAGGATAAATAGTTTTGTGAGGTATATACTCAGTAATTAAACTATGAAGGTAGTTATAAAAAATATCAACCGCGTCATCTAATGAATTACAGTGCAGGTGATCTTCCCATGCGTACTCATTCAGTAACCTATTAATATTATCGTAATCCCCTGACTCGTAATACAGTTTTGTGCGGGGATTAGGTTTTAATGGTACCTCAAAAAGGCGACTAAGTACAATATCGAGAGATTTATGATGGTCATCTTCAGGAACAAGAGGGTTGAGACAGGCGTTTATATTTAAATCCACATTCGATAAAACTAAGTCCAAGATTCTTCCCTTGGACTTATTACAACAGTTATTGTACTGAATTAGGTTACACTCGGAAAGAATATCAAAAAAGTATGTTTGGGATTCACCTATTATACATGAAGGTTGCAAACAGTTGCCAACACTCGACCATTCTACATTGGGCATGTTAAAATCACCCAGTACTATAAAAGAGTCGTCGGGGTTTGAATTTACAATAACTGATAGACTGTTAGAGAAATTTCGTAACTGTGTCTCGTAAGAGTTCCCCAAATTTTCCTTGCAGAGGTAGATAATACAAATGTTAAGCTTCTGTATAGTGCGGTCCTTTTTTTTGAAGATAATTGTAACCCAGAGATCCTCGGCTGATGATGACCAGTCAGAACGAACTTCAACTGATAGTTCACGTCGCACAGCCAACATCACACCACCACCTAGGGTTTGTTTCGTTTTAATATAATCTCTGTCCCTACGCCAAACTAAGTACTCACTACCAAATAGTTCACTATCGCTAATACTATCTAGCAACCAGGTTTCTGTAATAGCAATAACGTCATAAGAATTCAAGAGTACATTACGTTTGAATGTATGAGTCTTCGTTCGCAAACCCCGTGCATTTTGGTAATATAATTCAAATGAGGTCATTTTTAGTGATGAGAAAATAAAAATGATAAAATTCTAATATTAAGATTATAAACAAAATGATATAATGCGTCCCAAAACAGAAGTAGTACATAATTATCTGAGACCTACATTCCAAATAACAATATTTAAATGCAACACCACAACCACAAATTAGCGTGAGCACAAAAAATAATACGCGCAAATTAAATAGAATTGAATAAAGTTCTACACGAAATACACAATAGTTATTGAAGAGGACGGTAAACAGCAAAAAGCGTTCGACAGATAAGCGGCTCGAGTCTACGGTGACGCGGGCGCAAGCAATAGTGGCACATATGGCGCGGTATAATACTCGTGAGTGAATAGTAAACTGCATGCGCTGCAATAAATAGTTACGCTCAACTTGTTGATCGACTAATCCACCGAGACTTATTCGAAACATAAAATAAAAGTGAATATTAGAAGGTAAGTTGGATTTACATATGGTTCTCAAACTGTATACATACGTTATTGATAGATGTGAGATGACTAAAGTTGTTGATTTGTAAGTTTTAAAAGGTCTTTTTCGCATTTTATAAAAAATGTAGGTGCAGTATCCGATCCTCTTGCCATGATCTTGCAGTGTTTCACCCAAATATATTTGAAGTTATTTTCTTTCGCAAGGGCTTTCGCCTTGCTTAGAAGTGACTTATTGGTCGGAGTCAAGTGGTCATTGACGTAGAAGTTGGCAGTCGTAGAAAATCCTATGTTGGAAATATTGAGCAATTTACTTTTACGCGCCGAAGCCACAAATTCCTCCTTGGTATAGCGACTGTTAAAAGCAACTACAATCGGCTTATCTACATTGGGGATGCGAGTCGGTATACGTGCAATGTAATTAATGTTTTCTTTTCGTACAGAGATGTTGCAAAGGTTTCCAATTTTCTGTGCTATATCGTACAGATTCTCATCTTTCTTCTGCGGTATACCTATGATCTCGACATTATTAGCTCTAGCCCATTGGTCTCTGTCTCGCGATTCACTGTTTAATTTATCAATATTATCCTGGAGGATTGGTACTTGTTCTGCCATCTTCTCCAGTGTGATAACCTTTGACTCAAGAGATTTTACCTTTGCGGAGAAACCGTTTATGATGTCATGTGCCATTTCAATGGAGTCCTTGAGTCCGGACAACTCCAGTTTGATGGATTTCACGTCAGCAACCAACGCAGCCAATGGAGCCAAATCGAGGGCAATCTTGTTAAGCTGCTCCTGCATTTTGTCGAGCTGGCTAGGCTGGGGCGATACAGCCAGTTGAGAAGGAGATGAGCCGGACCTACATTTGGGGCAGCGCCAAGCACTCTTCCTACTGTCGCCGAGTCTCCGGTAACCAACATCTGTGACTCCTGCACACTGATAGTCATAGTGTTGATTGCATCCACCACAGATAGGGCCGTCGGTATGCTCAGAACCACAACTAGCGCAGGTGAACATTATTCAAAGAAAGATTGAGTAACACTGGATTTTCTCTTTAAACAAACAAGCGTACGCTTAAGGCAAGGGCCTGACGGAGACTGTGAATTTGTTGTTATAGCACCTTCTTAGGTACGTACTACACGAAGCAAAGATTACATACAATTCGAAATGTCTATAGATACAATTTAAAAAGTAACATTTTCAGCTACAAACGTTGTGGCTGATTGAATTTGTTTCGTTCTATTCACAAGCTCCTGAGTTCGAATGCTTTGCGAATACTTGCATTCGGTAAAACACGAAGGTTAACCATTTATTGTGACCGTTTCACAATATGCAACTATTTGTACCAATGTACAGACAACCGCCGTTCAATCTACCCTTTCTATCAAATTTCTTTATTCGATTTTCAGCGTTAAAATTTTGAAATAAAGACGAAAATCCAATGAAAAAAAATTACAGATTGGCGAAGGTTGATATGCTGTTGTCTTTACCCATCCCTTTATTTTATTTTTCTTTTTGAACACCATTTATTTAAGGCCAACTGAATACTCGTGCCTATTTTCCGTAGTAATTATTTTTTTTATCTCTTCTCAATTTGCGTGAATAATTGTTCGGTCAATTAACTGAGGGCTTTGATTATGTATTTGTTTACTGATTTATTGTTTGAGACTAATTAACTTTTGGTTGTTGAACTTGGTAAATTGTCTGTAGATATAGGTACCTCTACGGTGGTTTTATTATGGGTAACTGGTATGGGTAACTAAGGGTTCGATCGAGCAACGGGGTACCATCACAAATAGAGTTGTGCTGCAGTATCTACTACATACTGTGCTACAACTTTAACACCGCAAACTCTTAAGTTCTAATAAGGATTTTAATTATTATACTTTAAGACACATACTATTTTTATAAGGACCACAGATATATTAAAGAAGAATACATTACATTTTTTAATATTTCTGTGATAAGGACGAATGGAGGTCCTTGCTCGCTGCTCTTCTCCATTCGACTTACATTTTGTAGTGAGCTTCTCAGATGGTCAGACTGACAGACTATTATTTTTTTGTATTTGTTGACGTTTCAAAAGTACCAAACAATGATTTCATTCAAATAAATGCTTTCACTTTGACTTTGATTAAACGTGAATTGGATAATGTGATTTTTTACAATAAATTAATTGTGATTGTGATTATTTACCTTATAGTTCATTAAACATAGGAGATGATCAAAAAAGCACTATATCTCTAGAAATGTTTTGTCCCGTAGGACAACCGTTGGTTTAAAAAAAATAAATCAATAATAACGTAGCAATTTATTGAGATATTTCCAAGCTTAATCTGTTCAATAAGGGCCTTTTAAATTTCTATCCAATTAATCCGAACACAAAACCAATCAACTATAAACTTAATTACAATGCAATAAAACACATATTAAAATTTCTTACAACATAAAAGAAATAATTTCATTCGACACCAGCTATCCACAAAAATCGTATCTAAGCATTTCAATTAAATCTTGAAAGGTTTCTTTAGGAATGTTCCCCGTTTAGACAAAGGAGTTACAAAGCCGATTCAGGTAATTAATCCTGGTGGAATTCTTTCAGTAGCAACCAGTCAAGGAAAATAATCACAATTCACTACTACTTTGACAAAAGATTAAATATTTCTGTCCTTGTTAAGAAATTGCGTAATATTAATTACTCGCCTTTGTTACTTACGTTTCATTCGGTAATGTTTTCTGTTTGCGAAAGTAATTTTGTGTGTCATTTGAATTTTTTATGTAGTACTATCTACTTCTGTAGTTTTTAAAGAGCTACTGAATTTTTTAAAAATATTTCTCAGTAGTAGCACGGAGTCTGGAATTGTGTCCGGTATATGGTAATAGTACTCATAACATAAATAGTGAAAAGTGGGTGTTACATTGTACAGTGGCATTGTGTCGTAATGTACACCTCTGCCTACCCTTTCGGGGATAAATGATGTTATGTTTTATGTTTTGTTTTATTTCTCAGTAGTAGCACGGAGTCTGGAATTGTGCCCGGTGTATGGCAATAGGCTCATCCCCTATTACATGGAACTCATAACATAAATAGTGAAAAGTGGGTGTTACATTGTACAGTGACATTAAGTGTCGTAATGTGCACCTCCGTCTATCCCTTCGGGCATAAAAGGCGTGATGTTATGTTATGTTACTCCTTCCCTTGATCTAGTTCAGCTGTATCTTCGTAAAATGTCCTAAGCATTTGTTAATGACAAATATATTAGAAAACTCTTTAATGTTTATAAGAAAATGTTTTAGTGGTTTGTATTCACATGAGTATTGATAAATTGAAGATTCATATTGAATCTCAAAGTTGTTCTACTTTACGGGACCAATAACAGTTGGCTAGTAAGAATACCCATAGCATAAAGCCCGCCTATGTACTCTTGTTACATTAAGTTAAATAAATAAATAAAAATAAATACGCGTTCACGTTTGAATAGGCAAACTATATGATATAACAGTTTTCTAAATAAATCAAATGAAAAACCTCAATATTCCATTACTTACTAAGATTCTTGTAAAAGAAAAGTCGAATTAGAAGAAAAATCAAGAGCGGTTCACGTCGAAAGTAGTGAAAACTTTGCAGGGAGCGAGCGATGCTTCGACTGTGCAAATTTAAACAGACAGCCTCTATAGCCAGCTGGCCGAGCAAGAGAAATCCATTTACCTGACCAAAACGTCTAGGTCTGAGCTACAAAACAAACTCTTTGTTTTTCTAGTTTTCTAGTAATTATAATTATTGTTAAATTACTAATTAATTTTGTAAACTGTAGGTATATGTTTAGGACGGTAATGCTGGCGTATGAGACATTCATTTGTTCAGTATTTTTTTAAGGAGGGAAATCATCGAATGACTGCTCCCGCCTGGGTGAGGCGAGAGGGAGTGTCAGACTCTTACTGACTTAAAACCACCCCGTTTCTTCTCCTGCGCTTCGAGCCGGAGCCCCGGTAATCCGTTAGGTTCTTCGCTCAGGATTTTTAACCGACTTCAAAAAAGGAGATTCAATTCGACAAGTAGGTATGTATGCAATATGTTCAGAACTGGCCAGTTTTCGTAAAAGTTAGTCTATATCAGCGTCTGAACAAATGTGCCAAATTCCAAAAGTGTATATATGTATGTTTGATTGTTTGAAACATGCTATTGAATTAATGAAAAATATTTAAAAAATATACATATTATATATATCTTTAAACTGTCAAACACCAAGCGGTCACCGGTGACCGCAACCTATTGTTCTTTAACTGTGTCTATAATGACGGTACTCGACGAGTTAATAGATCTCTTTGTTAATTAATTAGCTTTTTTACTTTGTTGTTGAGCAGGCGATTACTTTAAAAATTATCTAGTTGGTATATCAAAGTTAGTTTATATAAAACAAGCATTATCGTATTTATTTTACTTTTTAGTTATTTTATATTCTTTCTAAACACACGCAGGTAAGTTATTTGCGTACTATTTTGAAGTCAGTTTTGTTTTTTTGTTTAATATTTATTATAAATACTTGGTACCTATCTATAGTTGGGTGAAATACCTATAGTTCTAAAGAACATCACTATGGATGGAGACGTTACTACGATAAATAGTTAGTCGATGCGTCATATTCACGCAAATAATACCATAGTATTACATTATTTTACATACTTTAGGTACTGCCTTTTAAGTCACTTACCTACTTAACTTTTTTATTTAGGTATTAATATACTTGTTTGATTTTTATCTACATACTCACATGTTCCTTCATTCATAACCATCCATTGTAATAAAAAAACCTGACTTAACAATTTTCAAATTCAAATTCCCAATAACCATTGAGAACGCTAATACAGTACGAAACCTACATTCAGTAGATCCCAGTTCAGCTATAACTCGCAAAGTATTTTACTATTTTACGTCCAGGTACTAACATCGGGCAATACCAACTGTTCACGTCACCACTCAGTAGATACCTTTTAAACCAGAAAATGGATGCTCCAGTAAAGTTATAAAAAGTAATACGACATTCTACCGCCTGTGTTTATTACTGTACATTAGTTATACAGCTTCCGTAGTGTCGTCTCGGCATGAAATGGAACTAATGAGATTTTGATGTTTTTTTGACTATGTTTTTATTTTTGTTGAGAACGTTAAGATGCTGGCGGAGGCCACGTGAGGACACTAGTTGCGAATTTAGAGATAGTGTACTTTGTTATGAATGATTTATTTGTGAGCGTGAATAAACAATTAATTGTGTGAGTTGCAGTTTTATACAGTCATTTGTTTCAATTTTCTATTGAGGATCCATGTTCGATCATCATCAGTTTTGTGATTGAATGGAGTTATTTTTAAACAAAGCTGATTTGTTATCGACCTTACTATTATGCCATAGGTAGTAGTAGTCATAGTGAGTAAAAATTAGTGTTGTAGTGCTACCTATAAGCAGTTCGATATTATATGTGCCATGTATCTTATAATAGATACATTAAGGGGATCTGCTGTATATTACACACTAGCTACTGCCAGCGGCTTCGCTAGCATTCTATTGCTATAAAAAGTAGCCTGTGTGTTAATCCAGACCATAATCTACCCCAGGGTGTTTACTCTTGAAACCTATCTCAATGTCAATGCAACTTCAACAACAACAATAAAAACTCAATAATTATTCAATGTATACAATCATAATGGTAGCTGTTGAAATAGCATTCAGAATAGGGAATATAAAGCCAACTCAATACCATGTAGTTCATTAAATATCCACGTAATACGAATGCAATAGGCGCTAGTTTTGTAACTCAAGAGTACAAAATTTAATAATACCAATGTCGATCGATCGGAATGGTATTCAAGAGTAAAGCCCCTGTTCCAAATTTGATTTCGACCCTTTTTGACGCGAAGGAGAAACAAACAAACAAACATGCAAAATTTGGAATTTTTAAATATTATTTGTAGGATTATAATAGGTATACTTTTTTGGAACTAAAATAAAACCATAATCGCG